CTTCTTCCCCCTCCCGTCTCTGCCTTAGCTTTTTGTCTTTCTAATTTCTACCTATTTACATTCTCCCTGACATCCTGCCACACTTTTAGGTTCTCTCATTCCTTGGAGTCTCAGACCAGCAGAGACTCCCTCATGCTGACGAAGGGTTACTGCGCCCAAAAGCTCGCTAAGAACTTTCTTCCAACTACTCAGTTGGTCTAATAAAAGATATCACATCTGCTCAAAGAACCTTGCCTGCCTATATCCTTAGACCAACACAGCTACAACCAAAAACCTGGTTTCATTGTTAATTCATTTTTATAACGCTTATCTAATATAAGGAAACACTATGTCTTCTAGGCTTTTGTATTTACTTTGTAACTCGTCAAAATATATAGAGAAAATTGTTGAAAGCAGAATAGGATTGTATGTAACGTAGCATAGCTTTACATTGCAAATACTTCATAATGCTTTGTATGTTGTTGTATAAAGTTGCCAAGCCGTACTATATTTCTGAAAGGTAGGAAAGGAATGTATAAAGAATATCCCACCCATTTCTGAAACGCCACAATCGCAAGGGTAGAAACACTGCATAATGTATATGTGATTGTATTATACAGTAGTTTAAGATAGGAAGTGTGTCACACAGAGAAGTTAAACCTGCTGCATAGTCTACATTTTTATTAAGCTTGGTAGTCATTGCTATGAGTATATCATCAAGAGTACTTGCAGATCGAGTTTAAAATTATGTAGAAGTTAATTTATATGGTTTGACTGTGAGTAATTGAGGGCAAAAGTACGTTCTTAAAATTTAAGTGCTTATGTGCTTTGCTGACAGGGTTGGACTTAAGTAAATGCTTATCTTTAAGCACAAACTTAAGTTTGTAGCTGAACTTGGGTTTTATAGATGTTAGGGAACTTTCTCAGTTTCTCTTACTCAACCAAAGTGTATTATGTGTTTATGTAGTTACCACAGCGCTTTTACAAAAAGATAGCTGTAACTACAGCCACATTTTTCAAAGGTGATGATGAGGTGTTAATAGTAAATGAAATTATTTTATAGGATACTAAATTTTGCCAGCAAGTAAATCTTCTATTAATGTACTGTAGTTTAGTTTGCTGTCTTTGGTGCCCTCTAGTGGGTTTTTTTTTGCATACAGAGTATAGTTAAGAGATTTTTAAAAGTGAGCTGCTAATATTTATTCATGTTTTTATTATGTTTTAATTATTCTTTGTCACTCTTAATCACTTAATGAGCTATCAGCTGTTTAGAAAAATTCAAAACCAAAATCCATAATTAAATCTATAGCTCTTCAGCTCATTCAGTTGTGCTTTAAGTTTATACCACGTAGAGTATGCAAGATTATCTTTTTGTTGAAAAAAAATTGTGAAGGTCTTGCAGAGCCCAGTGATATTTCATGTAATATATGTATTTTGTGCACTCTAGCCCATGCTTTTCATCTTGAACTGCCTGTCCTGATAGCAGATCCCTGTGGCCACCTTTATGCTTTAAAGCTTTAACTGGCTGTAAGATCGTTAAGTAAGGGATGAAAATCCAAAATGGCAGCTAAATAGTGGCACAAGACATTGAAAAATTAGCTGTTAAGCCCATAGGTTCTGCAAAAGATGGTAGTACAGCACACAAATAAGTTAGGGTTTTTTATCATAGCTATATTGGTATTTCTGATTATACCCCAAGTTTTGTACAACAGAAGTTTGTACAATCAAATGTAAATTTCAGAATCATGTTTGTATCTAAGGACTATTACTGTTGGGCAGTCCTTTGATCTCTCAGTACGTTGTTAACTGTTCATGAGGAATTGTGTGAAAGGGACATATCCATCTTATCTTTGCTATTTTAGAATTGTCTTGTTTATTTTCTTTAGTATTTTGTCATTTAGTTTTTCAGTAGTAGAACAGACTTTCCCCAAAACATTGAAGTGTTAATTACACGTTATAACTAGTAATAACGAATTGTTTCCATCTGTTGTGTAAACATGTATTTACATGATTTTGTGAAACGTATCCAATAGATTTAAAAGGTTTAGTTAATAAGCCATTAGTTAAATTCTAATACCTGTCTAAAATGATGGAATGACAACATTGGAAACTGATGATTTGGTGTGCTTTTGCAAGACTGACAGCAGTGGTGACAGTTTCTTACTGCTGTCATTTTTGACCTACAGAATATACTTTTCAGGTGTTGCTAAACTGCTTGCTAAATCTTTCTGTTCAGTTTTTGGCTCCTGCAGGGACTGACCATTCATGCTATTTATGAGGCTGGCTTTTGTATTGTAGACCCTTGTGTGCTAGGTTCCTGATGGCAGCCACCATGCAGATCATTCAATAGCTGTAAAATGGTAATAACTTTTAGTCATTAATAGAGTTGCTTGGAAAGTAATTTCCTTCCTCTGGAAAATGTCAAGGTTCCAGAAAATCCTTTTTGTTTTGATTCTGTATGAACAATAAAACATCTTAATTTGGTTTATGAGGCAGAAAATAATAATAATTAAAAAAGAACGGTTATGAAAATTGTCCTACTTGTTAGTTGTCCCATGATGGTACGTTTTAATATAAAGTTGAAAATATTTGTTTTACATTGTTTGAATTCTATTTCTGGTTAGTAAGTTTAAAGGTTCACATGTTTATATACTAATATTAATATTGCTCAAATACATTATAAACTGAAGAACTTTTCCTTCGCTTAAATTTCAGAGGCCATTCTGGATTCTAAAAGAAAAGCTTATTTGTAACATTTAACAGAATAAATAGTATATTATCCACACTTATATTGCAAGTTTGGATGAAGACGATTTAATGGGGAATAACTAATTTGGGTACTTGTATTAAAATCCTTGGGGCACATTATCTTACTGAACAATTTAATTATTTCTGTTTTACATTATAAATGATTCTTTTTGCATTGCAGTGGTGCCTATGTACCCTAATTATGGATTTGTATCTTATTATGGAAGACAAACACATAACAGAAAGATAGCCCCTGACTAAAACAGCTTATATTTTAAATAATTCACTTAGGAGGAGAAAAATATTTGGGCAACCTGTAGTCAGAAGTGGCTTGGTAGGAGTTAACTTTAACTTTATATGTACCACCAGGAGGAGCACTGTTAAAATAGTCTTATTATCCATATATCAACATGATCTTTCTAATGTTGTAGATATCTGTACCTCTGGCAATACTCCAAATTGTTCAGGGTACATAAAGAAAGATATTGTTTTGGAATGCATATTACACAACAGAAGAAATCCAGAAAGAAAACAAGTGAAGTAATTTTATTTAAAAAGAAAAGCAAAACTGTAAAATGTTTCTTTCTTGGAAAAAAATATTAGACAACTGAACTAGAATTTATTATAATTACGTAGGTTATAGGATGGCTCCAGTACATTGCATTATTAGACAGAGGCCCTGAAGTATAATGACATCTTCCTAATCTCGGCATAGAGGTGCTGTAGTTCATTTTCAGTATCATGGTAATGGTATTATTCTCCATGACTCTCTAGATTAGCTCATAGTAGCCAATGATAAAATAAGCCAATTGGACTCAAGGGCCTGTATTCTGCTGTCATTCCTAGAGGAAAGAGAATTGTGCCAGTCAGTATTGGGAATGAGACTGGCACTGGAACGAGGTAGAGCATATCAGAACTGTAGATATTGCTAATAGGTCTTCTTACTGTGGGTGGAGTATTCCATAAATATTTTCTTGTTTTCTACTTCTTTTTTTTTCCAAATTTGATCCTATCTGTTTTGTATCACATGTCATATTCTGCGCCTTACAGATAATAATAAATAATACCTATTACTTTGTTTCTCTTTTTTTCTTTTCTGATGAAAACTGTTTTACTTGATAGTCCCTTATGCTGATTTCCCTAGCTCTAGTTAGTGATGTTTTGCTCCCTCATTAGGGAGTGTGTTCTGTGGTATCTATCTGTCCTTGAGCTCAAATGATTTCATGCAAGGGCACATTCAACACAGGAATAGCTGAGTAATTTATACTTTCACAAGTAAAGATTGAAGAATCTAAGAACAGCATTTGCATTAAAAAAAATAATTCTTAAAATTCTTAAATTTTCCCATTAACAGGTAAGTTTCTGTTTACTTGAACTCTTAGTTTTCTTTCGGATAATAGTTTTATCCCTATATATGAACTTCATGCATAATACTTTATGTTATCCTTCAAATTGCTATGAGGATGTGACTTTAGAAAAGGAGCAGGATTTCCTAATAATGTTTTCAAATATTTGTATTCCGTATGGATTTTATGATTCATAAACTGGATTATCATCAGTTCTCTGTTTTACATTCCTGGCATGTTACTGCTGCTGATTTCAAAATGCTGTTTTATCCTTTGCTGGAATTAGCTTTTTTTTAACAATGTTGAAGCATCTGCTGCATGGATATTTTTCTACAAAATATCAACAAGTTTTCTTTTTGCACTTTTATCATAAGAAATTGTTAAATACATGCACGCATGCACGCATCATTCTTCAGGTGGTTGAAGGCTGTTGTTATATCCCCTCTGTCATCTCTTCTGTAGACCAGTGGTCACCAACCAGTTGATCTCGATTAACTGGTTGATCGTGGAGCCTCTGACAGTTGATTTCAGTCTGGCAGAGGCTCCACAATTGGGAGCGGCAGGACGCACGTGGCTGGGCTGAGCCACGCTCCCTGCTGCCTGGGCCAGGCTGGATGAGTGGGGTCAGAGGTTGTGGGGTAGGGGCACAGGAGGTGGTAGATACTGGGGTGCCCTTTACTTACAAAAAGTGATCTTCACCATAAAAAGGTTGGATATCTCTGCTCTATACTAAATAAGCTCAGTTCCCTCATCCTCTCCTCAGAAAGTATGGGTCCCAGCCCCTGATGCAGGAACCCAGGTAGGCTTTGTGAATCCTCAAGGTCAATGAAGCAAAACAGTTAAATAGTCAGTCAAATGAAGAAACTAAGTTAATGGGAGGGAATATATATTTGCAATAAGTAATTCCCTAAAAATGTTTATTTGCAGGATGAAGATGAGCTGGATTCTCACACCATGGTGAAGACTAGTTCAGAGAGTGCTGGCACCATGAGGGCTACAAGTACAATGAGTGAAGGTGCTCAGACAATGATTGAGCATAACAGTACCATGTTAGAATCGGACTTGGGCACTATGGTGATAAATAGTGATGAGGATGAAGAGGAAGATGGGACCATGAAAAGTATGTTAAATGTTTATTTCCTTTCCTTTTAAGAATTTAATATATTATTTTTCAATCTTGCATAACAAAGTAGAGTATTTTAGTATCAACATTCAAACACTTGCCAATACTGTGTTTAATGTATAGTCTTTATACATTATCATATTCTCTTCTCATCTCCCACATTTGTTTGGCCTGCAATATCATATTTATGAGGGAGAATGTAATAAACAGATCCTGATCCGAAAACTGGTTACATCCATGGAAGGACCTACTGTGAATGGACCCATTGGCTTCAGTGGGTTTCTTTGAATGCTGTCATCTGTCCACAAAGCTCTGATTGCAGAAGTGTGACACAATCTTTTGGTATTGTACAGCAAAAAATTTTGTAGTTAGTAGATTTTTATGGAAAAGAATAATTCTTTTCCATTAACAAAAACGTAAATCAGTAATATTTTATGGACCTAATGAAAAGCTCATTGAAACCTCCCAAAAAATTTCTGTTGTCTTTAGGTGGATTTTGGGTCCAGCCCTAACAGAGCAGAAAAATTCTAACCTTTTTTTAGTGTGCAAAATTGTAAGATGATGCCTTTATAATCTGTAGTTGGTAAACAGTGACTTAAGACAGTGTTCTAATACTCTTACTCATGGTATCTAGTATTTTACTACACAAGTAGACATGGTCACTTTTTAAAAATAAGATATAAACACCTTATAGGCACAGCTGAATCCCAATAACTTCCAACATTAGATAAATGACATTTCTGGGCATTTAAGTTGTGTATAACTAAGAAAGACTCATTTAGAATGGAAATAACCTTGTTTTCTTTCTAACAAATAAAGCAAGAGCCTGATTATTGAGAGGGATTTCCACAACATAAATTAAAACTTTGTAGAAGGTTTAATACTACATGTAAACTTTGTGTCTATGAAAAACTCCAGTTGTGACTTGTAGAAGCTTATTTAGAAACTCAAGTCTATTATTTGTGTTTAATGAACAGTAGACTTGGGATTTTTTTTGTCAGCTGTCTGATAATAAACAGTCTTATTGATAAGTGATGAGTTTCAGTAAAATGATTCACCATATAAAAATATTGAGTACAGGTTTTAATTTGTTTGAATGCTGATATCAATTATTTGTTTAATAAATTGTGTAGGTAATACAAGCTTAACAAGCAATCTTGAACTAATCAAATTTAACATATTATGGAGTAGACTGTTAGTACATACAAACATGGAGATACTAGATACTAAAACAAGCAAATTTGAGGGAGCAAAAGATAATATCAAGTAAATTCTGAAGGGTGGAAATGTTGCAAAGTAAGGATTCTTCTTAAGCAAAGGTTTATGTCACAGAGCACTGAGGTGCCCTGCTCCTAGAGAGGGGAAACTGCCAGGGAGAGAGCCCTGGCAGGGAATAAGGAGCACAGCTGTGGGTTGCCTGGGGCAACCAGGAGGTCAGCTGACCAGAAGGGGCAGGGCCTGGCCCTCATAAGGCCCAGGGGCTGAGGCCAGGCTAGCAGTTCCCTGCCAGCAGGGGCAGGGGCAGGGGCAGGGGCAGGGGCAGGGGCAGGGGCTTGTGTTTTGCTTTGTTGTTATTTATTACACTCCGGTGGTTTGGGTGAGGCTATTAGGGGTTGGAGGAGGCCTCATAGGGACCCACAGTGGTGTGGGGGCCCCAGTGCCAGTGAGGGCGCAGCATACTCATAGGGACCCACAGTGGTGTGGGGCCCCAGCGCCAGTGAGGGCTCAGCATCCTAATAGGGGACCCACAGCAGCGTGGGGACCCCAGCGCCAGTAAGGGCGTGGCGTACGGGGTGCATAGACCAGAGGGGGCACTACTGAGAAGCCCCAGTGCGGGCGTGGCGAGCCCCTGAGAACGGGCATAGCACTGCGGTGAGCCCTGGAGAAAGGGGGTAGTGCGGTGAGCCCTGGAGACAGGTCGGCTTGACCGAGAAGTCCCAGAGTGGGCACAGAAGCCCCCAGCGAAGGGCGGCTTCACAGAGAAGGCCCCAGAGTGGGCACAGAGAGCCCCAGGAAAGGGGCAGTATTATAGAGAAGGCCCAGTGTTGGCATAGAGAGTCCCAGGGAAGGGGTGGCACTAGAGAGAGGGCCCCAAGAGAGGGGTGGTATTCTTAAGAAGGCCCAGGAGAGAGGGCGGCGGTACCGAGAAGGCCCCAAGTGGGCATAGAGAGCCCCAGGAGGGGGCGGCAGTACAGAGAAGGCATGAGAGTAGACCAAGAGACTGAACAACGTCTAGTCCAACTGCGAGGCTTGGGGCGTGGTATAAGGGGTGGTTGGAGCCACGCATAGCCCATAAGGCTAGGGTGCCTGGGAAGCACCCATTTTACAGTGAGACCCATGGGGAGTCCGGGAGTCCACGGGGACGGAGGTCCCAACGAACCGTGTCCAAGAGGGCATAAGGCAGCCTCCCAAACTTATATAAACATCAAAGACGTGGCGGGCGAGAATTGGAGGGTGCCCTTGGACCGGTTTGGCATGGGGGAAGAGGCCTTAAGGAGATCATGGCCTTCCTGAAGGACCCCTGCCCGTGACAGTTTATATGCTGCCTTCCAAACCATGCAAGATTCAAAGGCACGTATGACACTGATTGAACTTCTAAGAAGAAGTATCAGCTTGATGTGCAAAACCAAAAAATCCCTAGAACTGTACTGTATTAAGGAATAAGGAACAGTCCTTATTCAGGCTCTGGTTCCGTCTCACTGAGGTGCATAATTTGCCAGTTCTTTCACAGGCTATGATGGAAAGGGAACTGGCTATCAACACCTATCTGGGAGTCAGTGGTGGGTGGGATTCCAAACCCCATTGGCTGCTTCCTCCATCAGCAGTCTTGCTGACTTGTGTATTCTTCCTTAACCCCTGGTCACTGGCTTTGAAGGTCAAAGGGGAGAATAGACTCTTTGGGCGAATAAGATTCTGCCTCTTCTCCAATAGTGACTGCTTTATTTTGATTATGTGGGCAACAAGAAGATGCTCTGGACTTCGTTTCCCTTCCCTTCCCTGGCTAACTGCAGTGCAGTGTTATTTTTGTGAATCATGTTTTCTGTGCCCTTCCCCCCCCCCCCCCCCCCAGCCTACCATAAAAGAGGAAGGTTTAGGAGACTGCATCATGCTAATCATGAGATTGCATCACTACTTCCCAGGAAGAAGTTCTTTCTTGGAATACAGTGCCATTTTTGCAGCTGTAGTGCTTGGGAAGAACACAGCCCCTCTGTACCTGCTATTATTAGAAACAAATCTGGGCCAGAAGAAGCTTTGAAAATGTAGCTGATGGTCAAGGGCTCTAAAGAATACCAGAATCAATGTACAGGAAGATTCAGCTCTGTTAAATAAATGTGAGAAGCACATGATTAATGGGGTTTATGATGGTTGGGCTGGCTCTTCAAGGAACTGGGAAGAAAGAACAGATTATACCTGAATAAAAAGGGAATTGGGAAGGCAGCAAATATCACAATATGTAGAATTGGCACCAAATTGTGGCTATCCCATGTGAAAGGGAAGGGAGGGGGAAAAGGAGCTTTCCCTTTTACTTTTCTTTGCAACCTTTGTGGAATAACTTGGCTCAATGAGTCTTTCATTCCAGAAGAGCTATACCCTTGTGGGAGCTGGTCAGCACATTGAGGAGCTAGAGTTTGGCTGCTCTTCAAAAGTTGTCATTATGTTATTCCATGGAAGTCCCGTATAAGCACAATGAGCGTAAATATATACCACTGGGGTAGGTGGGTTTTTTAAAAAAAATTTGATACTGTTATAGTCAATAAATGTAGCTTTAAAATAACCTTTGTTCTTGGGTGCTTTTAAGTGATGGGGTATTGCACACCTCAAGCCTGGAGAAACAAATGTTTATGTGAAAAGAAAAGGGTTTTTTTTTTTTCTTCCTGTTCTAGAGAGACAAAAAAAAAAGTATGACAACCTTTTAAAAAATCCTGTAACATGTAGCTTCACTTTTGTTCCCCCCTCCTTTTTGTTTTCCTGCTCAGGGACAAAATAAGTAACAATAAGTTTTTATTTATAGGTGCCCATGCTCAGAGGCCTCTGGGAGCCTTGGCAAAAAATAAGTAAAAACTTTTTTTTCACAGATATGGAATTGTGCCCAAATAAAATTGAGATTTGGAACAAAATAAGGCCTGTCATCCTACCCCAAAATACAATACACAATCCAGCAATAAATACCATTTTACCCTCTTTACTTTCCTTTCACACCTGTAAATGTTCATAGAGCAGGGAAAGTGGATTTTTTGGTTTTTGGTGGAGTGGAAGGAGTTGGCTAATATTCCCTCCTAAAAGAAAAAAAAAGAAAAGATGTATAACGGAAAGCATAGATGGTAGGGAAAAGGAACAAGGCTGAGGACATGTAGAAGAGAGAAAAGAGTAGATGGGCTGTATAACTGACCACACTACCCTTGCTTTTCATGTATACATTTCCTTGGGTCCAGGTTCAAGGGCCCCTGGATGCAGAATGTGCTTGCCAAGCATGTTTGTGACTCTCAGGGTGCATCTACATGATATATTTACTGCAGAACTGCCTAATTAGCCCTGCAGTAAAGTCTCTGCATCTACATGTGCGGCCCTATTAGGCCACAGTAAACTAACAAATGCCACTGTAGATCTTTTGGTGGCATTCTTTAGTGCGCAGCAAAGCACATTCAGATGCTAACAGGGCTGGCTGGGGCGTGAGGGTGCTTCAGAGCAGGGGTTGCCTGCTGGCTAGCCCTGCAGTAGACCACCCTGGCCCGCCCCTCTGCAATATATTGAGCCAGTTTAGAGCAGCCCCAGGCTGACCCTCTGGGCCTGGTGCCAGCTGGGGGATGCTTCAGCCTGCCTCAACGTGCTATGGTCCTGGGCACACACGTAAATGCGGCGACTGGGAGAAAAATATTCTGACATGATATGCACCAGAGTTTATTGCTTCACATGAATTGCCCATTGAAATGCACCGTCTTTATAGCTGGTTTCAGGATTTAATACCCGACCTTTTTCTTTCACTGAGTATACCTCTG